CGCTGACCCGCGGGCGACCCGCGGAGGATGCGCGGAAGGCGGAGAGGCCCTCCGCGCTGCCCCCCCCCCCTTTTTGCCCTGTCCACCACCCCGGCAGGCGCAGGTTCCCCGGGGGGGAGCCCCAAATCCTGGGGGTGTTTTCGGTGCTCTGACCCCCGCCGTCGTCCTCCAGGCTGGGGTTGGCAGGGGTTTGGGATGAGAAACGAATGCGGGGGGGCTGCGGGTCCCTAGGGTGAAGCCATGTCGGGGGCACCCCGTCCATCTGGAGGACTTGGGGCAGCACATCCCTCCCGGAGAGGCGGGGGGGCTCACGGAAAACGCTTTGTAAAATAAGGATAATGGTATTCCTCTTCGCTTTCAGTGCGGGTTTTTGTTTTTAAAGGGAACCAGAAGGTTGGGCACATGTTACAGTCTTGGGAGGCAGCCCTCTTTTCCAAATGGATTTGGGCTGGTTTAGAAGGGGATTCGGAGCAAAAAAAAATTTCCAAGCGTGCTGTTGGACTGAGCCTGGAAGGAAAAGTGAGTGGACAGCGGGAACAGTAAAAGCCCTTAGAGAAACCCCGTGGGTCCATCCCCATCCCTGCGAGGCGATGAGGACACTTCACTTTCTCTGAACAACAGGAGAGAAATTTGCTCTGAGATCCAGGGCTACTTCTAGGCTAGGCATGGTGGGATGCAATTATTTCCTCTTTCATCAGCCACTGGAACTACCATTTTGTTGAAATCATATCCTTTTCAGGGGCAATGATACCTTTTCCTAGCGAGCCCCTCGCATAGAAAAAGGGGGAGGGGGGGGAAGATGGAGCGAGATAAAGCGGAGTTTGTCTTCCAGTGCATGAGATTTATTTTGCAGCGTGAAGGAGAGCGCCGTTGGGTCAGGGATGGCAAAGAGGTCACACTTGGCAGGCTGCTGCTGCTTCATTTTTTAAATTATTATTATTTTTTAATTTTTTTGTCTGGTTCTTTGCTGTGGAGCACGTGTTGACGTCTTAATAAAACGTGCTAAAAGCTCCGCTTTCGGTGGCAAACACGAGAGCAGAGGAGAGAAAATAACTAACTCTACGCGTAAATATTCAGCCAGGTGTCGGACGGGGCGGGGGGTGTCCCCTGGGGGGGGACAGGGCAGGGTACCAGGGATGTCCAGGCGGGAGGACAGAGCAAGATCCCGCTGGAATAATCCATCCTCCCTCTCAGGGAATTCCCCTTCTTCCCATTTCTTCTTCCCATTCCCGGCTTTGCCGGAGGTGAAGCATCCCTTTGGATATTCCTGCCCATGGCGTTGCCGTCCGGGCGCTGGAGCCCCCCCACTCTGCTGCCTCCGACTGTCCCCCCGCCAAAAGAGATGGCATCA